TATTCAAACATGTCAAGTCTGCAAATCAAATCATTTCATCAGAGATTGCAGCGAATTTTTGAAAAATAGTGTGAATGACGGAATTCATATCTTGAAAACATCACACTTATGGTACAATTGTTTGTTATCAAATCACGGAGTAAAGATTGCAAAAGTCGCTTTGGCTGCCGTATTTGTACTATGAAACACAATACTTTGTTACACAAGGGAACGGAAACCCAAACAATAAATACATACTTAGCTCAAGTGGAAGCACAACCTAGTACTAGTTCTGCCGCCCTTACAAATCAAATACAGTCCACTACAAACCTAGAACCAACTACTATTACTTCTTTGACCCTCCAAGATAAGCAAATTTGTGAGCGACAATCTGGAGGAACAGTACTTTTCACAGCAATAGTACAAATTGAAACCAAAGGACAATTTACGATGCCCGAGCTCAGGATCACAATCCACCTTTATTTCGGAAAAGATGAAAAACTTTTTGAAGTTGCCTACACGGAACAACTTAGTTCATGTCTCTGGCTTAAGTCAATTTGTTTCTGAGACTTCAACGAAATCTTGATTTTTCACTATGAGATCCAAATACGACCCTAGCTTTAAACTGCAAGTCTGGGCTCCAGTTTTAAAGAACCCACCTACATACATATAGAACTCCAATGAAAACATTGGGATCAATTTTAACAAAAACAAAGTTTGGATGGATGGGCCCATAACGGGAAGCACCCTTCAACGAAAACAAATATCACTTTTAAATACAACATCGATAGAGAAAATACTTACACGTTTTTAGGAGGTGGAAGAGACCCCTAAAAAGTTTTACGGTCAGAAGAAGACCAACAAACTAAAAACAAAACTACAATACGGAACAAGGATGGAAGATATGTGGTGACTTTCCCATTCTAAAAATGCGAATTCTACAGAATGGAGAAAAAACTTATGAAAACACCACATATCAAAAAACAATATGATGCCTCAATACTTGAATACCTAAAACTTGGTCATGTGAGAAAAATGAATCCGAATGGAATAGATAAAATGCCAAATTATTATCTACCACATCACGCTGTGATAAAACCCGATCGACTCACAACGAAATTAAGAGTCGTATTTAATGCTTCTTGTCCTACATCAAACAAAACAAGTCTAGATGACATACTATGTCCTGGACCCATATTACAACAGGATTTAATATTGCAAATGTTAAATTGGAGATTCTTCAAATATGCCTTCAATGCAGATATAACAAAGATGTATCACCAAATACTTTTGGATTCAAAGCAAACAAAATATCAAAGAATTCTCTTTAGCCAGTCTCCTGAAAACCCGGTAGAGGATTATGCGCTGCTAACAGTTACATTTGGAGTTAACTGCGCACCATATTTAGCATTGAGAACTCTTCTTAAACTAGCTGAGGATGTAAAAGATTTGTATCCTAGAGCCGCAAACAAATTTTGAATAATTTATATGGTGATGATGTATTAGCTGGCGGACACACTGAAGATGAATCAATAAAAGCTCAAAAGGAATTGACTGGCGCTTTAGACTCTGCTGGTTTCACACTCATGAAATGGGTGTCAAATGATCACAAAATAATACAAGATATTCCACATGAACATTTACTATCACTCAATTGGCTAGACATTTCCGAAGATGCTTCTAATAAAACCCTTGGAATTCGATTAAATATCTCAGGCGATTATTTTTCTCTCAGACCACATTTAATGGAAAATAAAAATGTATCTTCAAAACGAGAAGTTTTATCAAAGATAGCCAATTCATTTGACCCATGTGAATGGCTGACACCGGTGGTGGTCGTAACTAAGTTGATAATGCAACAAATCTGGCTAGACAAAATTGACTGGGATGATTAATTAAAGCCAATAACACAAATGAACTGGAACAGTTTTGTCAAAGATAGCAAAGATATTGAATATCTCAGAGTTCCTCGATGGATTCAATACACGCTAGATGGTTCTGTTGAGATTCATGGATTTTGTGACGCATCGGAAAGCGTGTATGGAACCACTCTTTATATTCGGGTGGAAATACTGACCATACCACACATACATTTTTTTGGACATCGTCTTAGCATGGTTAAAATAGCCCCCTTGTCATTGGAGCACATTGCTGATAATGTTGTACAAAAGAAAATTGGAGACTTGTTGATTCGGAGAATAATCCAGCTGATATTGCGATCCGTGCTTGAAGTCATGGCTAGGCATATTAATGCCAAATTATAATGGAAAACGACGGAAGGATTTTAGTGCGGCTCTGTAATTCCTTTGTGAAATGTCACAAAATAGGCCGTGCCATGACTTCAAGCTTCTTATGTACTTAGCCCTTAAGACTCTGGAGGCAAATAAGCAACACCTTCGCACGTCATCACAAGACCTTACAGCTGCCGAAATCCAAGATGGAAAACGATCTTGCATTATTCGTACACAAAAATTCGTATATTGCGACAAATACAACTCACTTATGAAAAAGACTCAAATTTCTCCTTCAAGTCCTCTGTTAACACTCAATCCGTTTCTAGACTCAAAGGGCATTATTAGAGCAAATGGCAGATTGGTACAATCGCCAGTCCTTACATATAGCGAATGTCACCCAATAATATTACCACATGGCGCAAAACTCAGCTTAACTTATCACATTGCACGGTGGTAATCAATTAATGACCCGGGTATTAAGGTCCGAATTCTGGATATTTGGACTCAAATCGCTAATCAAACAAACCATACGAAAATGTCAAATCTGCTTAATTCACAAAAAAAAAAACGAACCCAAACTCAAATAATGGTTTCGCTAACAAAGGGTTAGACAGAACCCTTTCACATTAAAATTTATTAAGGAAGAGCCTGTTTTATTACAAAGGCAACGTGTGCCTGTTTGTTTGTTTGTTTCGCCACTAAGGCTATAAATTTAGAACCCAAAAGCGATTTGTCGACATATGCCTATCTTGCCGCTTTTTCTAGGTTCTTAAGTCGGAGAGGTTGTCCATCTTGTATATTTTCGGACAACGGAACTAACTTTGTGGTGCTCTGCACATGGGCGACTTGTGGGAAGCTGATGTTAAATCACTTAAATTCATTTACGAAAAAGTATCCCAAAAATTAATTTCACCTTTGAAGAACTATTTTAGTAAGAATTGAAGGCTGTCTTAATTCGCGACCCTTAAGTCCTGCTAGCGACGATCCAAATGACCTTTCCCTTTGACTCTTGGTCATTGCTTAATAGGAACATCTATTTTTACCCCAGTTGAACCAGACATAGTCAATCGTTGGAAAAGACTCAAAGTTATTTCGCAATATTTTTGTAACAGATGGAAGTTAGAATATCTTCACGAACTACACAGACCCATAACAAAAATTGTCAAATTATTTTCCGACTGACTAGTCGGATTCTCACTCAAAAAAAAAAAAAAAAAAAAAAAAAAGTGTTCGCCTTAATTTATTTTCAGATATGGCCGCTTACTCGCCTAACCAGGACTCTTGTCTGGACGATTGCAACGGTAGCCCAGACTCACCTGCCCGACCAACAGCAAGAAGGAGTCTCAATTGGGCGAGGTATTCCTGAATATAGAAGCCGTCACCACCTCAGCTTTCGCATGGGACTTAGTATTTGTATCGACGGCTATGGTACGCATAACGGTCGAGGGCATGTCTAAAATAGTTTGGTTTTTCAATAGACCCTAAAATATAATATGGTAACTTAGTTAATTTGTTACATCACAGAGGAGTACAAATTTCTATCGCAGAAAGAACACGATTGTTAATGTCAACTGTGGATATGATGTCATTTAGAAACAAAGCCCTTTGTGAGATCAATTATATTTTTATTAAAGCTTTTCCAAGTAGTTTTAAAAAAGAGATATAAAAACTTATCATACAAATATAAAGCGTTTATTAAAAAAGTAACAGGGAAATATTCTCCTATTATTGCAACAATCACCTATAATTTTAGCTATATCGTTAATGAGTAATTCAAGTACTAAGTTTTTTCTATTAATATATTTTTTATTCTGTTTAATCGGCGTAACTTAATGTTTCTGGGAATGAATATAACGACACCACCACCCCTTCGATTTAATCTGTAGTGTGTAAAACATATGTATGCTAAAATTAAAAGTAGTTATTCATTGCCTAAAAAAAATAACTTTCTTTCTTTAAAGATATTAAATAATGCCAGACTCTTTCCATTATTGTAAGCACAGCTCTTTTTTCTATGTTCTATTTCATAGAACAATGATTGCAAAAGGCCACATAAGAGATCCCAAAAACAACTTAAGAGATCACAGTAAGAGTAAAATAGGCTTAATGTAGAGGGAAATTGAATATTGAAATATGGCTCTGTTTTAACTGATTGTAGCAAGCGTTGATCTGCCTCTTCTTTGCCTTAGTATAATTGTGTCTTTTTAGCAGCAATTGTGTTGTGATACGATGCATATAGATTAGAAACCTTTAATACCGCACGAAATCTGAATACTTGTAATAATCCATATTGGAGTACTTATGAAAGCATTTGATAATTGTTTACTTTTTTCATAGTTCTGATTGATTTTAACAGATTGTTCACAAAACTTCTTATATTTTAAATAAAAATGCCGACATAAATATATTTTTGTTAATGAGTTTCTATTCTTATAGCACGTTATTTTTAACCTTACTGGATAAAGGTTGTACCGTTTTTATATTTCACTAAAATTTTGTACCAGGGAAACAATCAAACTGCTCATTTCGTATATTCCCTAAGGTAAACCATTTCACAAAGGTAACAAGCCTACCTAATTTCAATAAAAGTCAGTCAAATTGGATTAAAACGAAGAAATAATATTTCAGAATAATTTGAACAATGGATACTATTTTAGAGTAATTTAAATAATGAAAGTATTAAATATGTTTTGTTACAAACTCAACAGTGCACTTTGGTATGGATTATTAGTAATATTTTATATTTTCATAAGTATTCTTGTGTATTTAAAACTACACAATACTTACTTGAACTCGGTAACCGTGTGTTGATACTAATCCTAATTCCTTGAGCGTAACAGCAATATCTGACGGAGTACCATCGGTTCTTCTATTTACGAACGCTATTGCATAAGAGTAATGCAGATCCTGTGTAGGTGTAATTGGTTTGGACCATATTTCAATTCCTTTATGCTTGTATATCCTCCGTCCTTGAATGCCCAATGGATCTTGATCTACGGAAATAATCTTTCTGTTCTGCAAGATAGCCTTGAATTCCGGACGTATCGTTCGTAAATCAACTGACATCAACAGAGGTGCTGCCATTATAGACCAAATAGCAAACTGAGTTTTGGCTTGATCATAACTGAGGCCAAAGTTACCAATTATCAACTACGATGGAAAATAAAAAAATATTTTAGACAATTCAAAAAGCGAAATTGTTAAAAGTCAATTTAAATCGAGCATACTTAAGGTAAGTTCCACCATAAAAATGAGGGTATATTGATTTTGTCATTCCGTTTGTAACATCCCTAAATTATACCTATTCATAAAATTCTAGTCGATTTGGCGTAGAGCCTCAACATTTAGCACACCATTTTGTATTGTGTTTAGGATGGTTGGTATTGAAAATGAAATATGTCGGTCCACGTTTTGGCATAGCCACCATATAATGGTACCTCCCTATATTCAGTGTTTTGATGAATTTTGCCATATTTTTCCACGGATTTGTCTAATAATGACAATGACAATCCATAAGCTATAAAATTTTCTATGGTGGTTCCCGTTTTGGAATGACCGCCATATAACGGGCTCATCCACTTCATTGTTTCTTTGAAAAGTTTAACAGCATTATCCCAACGGTCTTACTGATATTTGTACTTCTACTGACACAATTATTTGACAATTTTTGTATAAACAAGCCATTCGGCTAATTCTCGGTTTTATATATTTGTCAAGTTGTTCCTCTTTCGGAAAGAATAAAAGATAAATGTTTATCTTCTTCACAAAAATGCTTTAAAAATCTTTCATTTTGAAGTCTACCGAGGAGAATATTAGTAAAAACCATTGCTCAATGGATCCACATCCAAATTTTCTGTCCACAACTATTTCAACGTCCCAATATATAAACCCTACAAACCAACAGTGACCTTAATATCAAATTCCATAATTTCATCTCTATCCCTCTACCCAAGGCAAAATTTAGAGCCATTCAGCACTTTTCATACAATTATAGTGCACATTTCCGAAATCACCTCTTTATATCCAGGCTATACATGAATCCTAATATAATCCTAATATAACTATTCTATTCAATACTTTTCGTGCACAACACATTTCTGAAACCACCTCTTTGTCACAAACCTATGACCAGCAGGGACCCAAAACAACATTTCAGCTTAGGAGTGAACTTAACCAAATTTTAGTACAATTTGCCAACTTAATGTACACTTCTAAAACTACCACACCAAATTTCAAGTTGTAAGCTCTATCCATTCACATAATTTCAAATTGTATAATTTTAGAAGGTTAGTACCTGTTCTAGATCAGGCCATAGATATGCGCCTTAAATTATTGTTATTTTGCTGCTATCGATTATTATTTGTATTATCAGTTTGAAGTGAATTTCCGGAGTTTTGTTGATTCCTCTTTCTTTGCATATTTGTGTTAATCGTTGCTAATCGCAATTTAGTTTTTATTCAATTATAATTTTGATATTCGTTGAAGACGGAGGCGTAAAACTGGGGTAAGGGTTTACCGTCTATATGTGTATTTTTTTTGTAATTAAACAGTTATGTTTTCATAGAAATAAACTCAACAACAACATAAAGGTGTTTTAATTTCTGTTTAACGCAAACCACCTGCTATTCTAGCCGTAGCCAGTAACATCTTTTTTTTATTTTGCAGTTTGTTGTTGTTGTATGTTGCAGTTTTTTGTATTTTCATACAAAGAACTGAGTTTGTTGCCGTGGTAATTGTTGGTGGACACAAAATAAGCAACCTTTTGGAAAAAGTAACAGCATACTCCACCACGCCGGAAACCTCGTCTACAAGGTAATAAAAATGAAGATGCTATAGTAGATGATCATCCTGATCAGACTCCGCCCGAGTCAATGCCAATTTGTGTCACCAACAAAACAACCAAAAAAACTACCTATAACCTCACGTGGTGTGCAGCCAGCACCAATTTTCTCCATGGAATTAAATGGAAAGCCAGCCACTACAGTAAGTGGCCATCAATAGCAAACTATTGCACTACAGATATCAGTGCCGATGTCGACTGCAAGTCCTGCCAGTCCATCAGAGATGCAAAGATCAAATCACTGCTTATTCATCCTGACAACGTCGACGACATAATTAAGCAACTCTGTTTTAGATTTGGTAAACCGGAACAGCTCATATATACTCAGTTATGCCAAACCAGTGAAGTTAGTGCCATTTTCAAACTAACTTAGTGAAGTTAGTGCCATTCTCAATAAAAGTTAAAAATTTAGCTGTTTTCCTGCAATCCGTGAATGCACAAAATCACATTGCAAACCCCATACTTCTTGAGTAGTTGGTGTCGAAGCTTCCCATAAGTAAGAAATTGGAATGGGCCAGGGTTGCCACAGCGACATTGCCGAAAAAATAAGGATCAGAGGAAAGAGGCACCATTAATGTTCAATGGTTCGGAAATTGACCTTCCAGAGAGCCTGTGACATCCTTCAACATAAAAGTGAGTGGATCTGGTAAAAAGGGCTTGCGACCTTCCGATGCAGTCTTTGAGTCAAGATGAAATTTTACCGGGCCATTGTAGTGCCAAAGCTGTTGATTGGATTGGGCTACGCGCATCTAGGGTTGCCATCGAATTGAAAACCAATAATGAATTTGGACCATTTGAATTGGGATGTGTTCTTTTCATGTCACTCTTTATCTTCTATCCAGAAATCATCTCTATGTATTTCCGTGGAAAAAAATGACGAGTTACATCAAATGGTACTTGATTATTTTAATGTGGAAGGCATGGGTGTTAGATAAGTTCCTTTAGTCGAAAGCGATGATGATGTTAGAGCCAAGAGAATTTTTCAAGAAACCACTCAAAGAATTGGAGGGCTGTTGTGGAAGCAAGATGAGATTCGGCTCCCAGATAGTTACCCGATTACACTTAGTCATCTGGAGGGAATTAAAAGGAAGATGAAACGAGATTCCAATTTCTCTGCAACCTACAGGGAGATCATAGATAAATAGGTAAGGAAAGTCATTCCGAAGTAGAATTTCTAGTGAGAGAAAATGATATTTCCGCACTTCGTGGTAGTCAACCTCCACAAACCTGAAAAGTTAAGACTCGTTTTTGATGCAGCCAAGGTAAACAATATTTCGCTGAGTTCTCTTCCGCTAAAATCACCTCAAAATATAAATCCTTTGTTGACTATACCTTATAATTTCCGTCGAGTCAAAATAGCAGTTGGTGCCGATATATGGGAAATGTTTCACCAAGTTAAAATTCAACAGAGTGATAGAGTTTCCCAACGATTCCTATGGAGGAATGGAAATCAGAAAAAGCCACCAGGTGTTTACGAGATGCAGGTCTTGATCTTCGGGGCAGCCTGTTCACCATGCTCTGCCATTTTTGTCATGAAAGCAAATGCCGAAGAACATTTCCATTATAATCCAAGAGCGATTGAAGTCATTTGCGAAAACCATTGCTTTGATGATTTTGTAGATAGAAGCTGTAGATGAAGCTTTCAATATTTCTAAACAAGTATAAGAAATTCACAAAAACGGCGGGTTTGAATTGAGGAACTTCATATCAAACTCGAAGGATATCTCCCAGATGGTAGTTTGAAAGCAATGCCAATAAATAACGGAGCAGAGATGGTCTTAGGATTATATTGGGAGTGAGGACGCCTTTGCTGCAGTGACATTTTTGAGGTACAGTTCGAATGAGTTCACTGATACCAGCTTCATCACTTCTAAAATTAAATGTGCACCTCTGACAAAAGTTACGATTCCGCGTCTGGAGCTACAAGCTGCAGTTTTGGGAACTAGATAATTGCAGACAAATGTGTCTTCTCATATTTTGACCCAGAAAAGATTGTTTTGTGGAGTGATTCCACAACAGTGTTACGATAGATAGCCAGCAGCCACAGCAATATAAACAGTACGTCACCCATCGAATTTCTAAAATATTGTCATCACCAAAAATTGAGAGTTTTAGATGGGTTTCAACAAGTGAAAATGTAGCCGATGAAGGCACCAGGGCATTCAACCATATCGACTTTTCCATGTCCCACTTTCTTGAGAATGAATGGACATCACCGGCCTACTAGAGTAATTGACACCACCTGTGCTAATGATATTGAGGAAAATCATCCTAAAATATCATTATTGATTGTTGATAATGATTTTATTGATTCTAACCGGTTTTCGTCATTTACGAGAATAATAAGGTCGGCTTGTTGGATTATTAGTTTTGTGAAGAGATGCCGAAATATTTTTGACGATTTAAATTACGGCGAAAATATATTATGCCGCTTAGTACAGAGAGATAGATTTTCTGCCGAGTTAAATTGCAGTGAAAAAAACTAACAGTAGTTTGATTAGTTTATCTCCTTATGTTGATGATGGTCTTTTAAAAGTATGTGCAAGGTAGATCTACTAGGTAATCGCATCAACCCAGCTGACGGCACCATTAAAGGTCAAAACAAATTGTTGTAATAAAGATTCGCCCTAAATGAATGCAACAACAAATTTGTTTATGTTGTCTTCCCTAAAAGTACCTTTTTATAATATTTCAAATAATTTAAGAGCAAGTTTAGTGTGAAACCAGTAAAAAAATTAAAAGAAAATGAAGGAAGGAGGTTAGAATGGAATGCAGCTTTAAGAATTAAGTTAGCCTTAACATCAAAGATTCCCAAAGCACATCACGGGAAGTTGTGCAAGAATTCGACCCTTGCCATTTGCAGTTCCGGAAAACTTTCGGTTTAAACCAGTAAAATATAGTCATTATAAGTTTCTTGGTATAAAAAAAATTAATACTTATTTTACTCTTATTTGTTTTACAATAAAAACTTTTATTGCGACGTTCGTTTACGACGAGAGGCACACAAAATAAAATGTAAACAAACGCTTCGTTTCTGATTGGTTGAAGCAAATTTGCCGCAACGATGGCGAATCTATGTTTTTCGCCTTAGATGCGAATTTTGACATTTGAGGGTACCACAAAATTTGCTTTATTGTAGCAATTCGCCGATGCGGTTACCTGTTAGATCTACCTTGAGTATGTGGAAGAATAGATGCAGCCAGCTACAACATGAAAGGGCAATAATATTGCCTAAAAATCATCAGTTTACGAAACTTTTAGTTATGCATCACCATAGCCAGAAGATGAACCAAAATCCCGAGGCTACGGT